GGCCATAGGGCCCGATTCCAGCCCGCGCGCAGCCCGTCCCCTGTCTCAGCAGATGAATCCCGCGAGCCCGCGTGCCTTCAGCCTTTAGAAAGTGTTGGGCCAGCCCTTTGTGCGGCCCAATTCGCATATGCAGCGGCCCAACAGTGGCCTGCGCAGTCCAATTGTCATTTTAAGCCAATTTTTGTGTTCCGGAGCCCTTTTTCGTACCGATTTCAATTTTAAAAATATTTTTAAGATAATAAATTTTGGGAAAAATTATTTTAAGTCCCGAGACTCCAAATTTTACTCTCCGAGTCTTATTTTTCAAAAATGAGAGAGTTCCAAGTCCACGAAAAATCCGATTAAAACCCTTAAGTCTTAATTTTTATTAAGTATGGGTTTTATGTTAAATTCGAATAGTGAGATAGATTATTGATATATTATCTCACTTAAATGTAGGTGTTTGAGGAGTCGAGCCTCGACCTACGTTCCATTACTTGTCGTGTTTTCGTCATTTTCGGATACCAGGTGGGTTTTAATCTAAAATTTGCTATGCTATATTTGAGGTAAGATTTTTATACTTTGTGTTCTATGAATGTATGTGTGAGTCATGAGACGGTGCCTAGTGGTGGGCGATCTCCAACCTTGTGATAGGTAGACTCATTTTAGCCTAGTTGATGGGCCGTGACCGTTGATGTTGAACCTCGGCACGACTGTACTCCCGCTGACGAGTTTGGGCTTACCCCTGGCGGCTTTTGATAGGTGTGCACATGAGTATAGTGATGAGTAGGAGAGTGGTGTGTTATGTCTTTTGACCATGTACTTGCATATGACTCTAGTATAGGCTTCTTACCAATATATTATGCATAGTGGTGAGCACCTCGTTTATATTTGTGCTCATCCCCACGTGCTCTTCATTGATGCAGGATAAGCACGTGTTGGGCATGACGAGACTGAAGACGAGTGGGTGGTCAAACATTATTAATGTTTTTTATTGCTTCTGCATGCTTTGATATTTATGTTGAGATTATCAGACTTTGTTATTCATCCCTACTGCTTTCGGGATTGGTTGAACTGTTGAACCATGTGGAATATCTTTATCAGTTTGGATTATGTTGACAATCCTATTGCTAGATATGTTGAAATCTAGTCTTGGAACTTGAATTATATTGAATATTCTCGTTTCCCTTATGCTGATTATGTGTTTAACTTTGAAAAGTTCTCAAGTAACGCCAAATGTTTCATGAATCGATAAATGGTTTTCGGAATTTTAAAACAAGATTTTTGGATAAGTTCGGAATTGTCTTTAAAAATCTTTGGGGTGTTACAGCTATTTATGGCATTAGCATTCTAAAAAAAAAACTTTCAAAGAAACCGGAGAGAAAATCTCTTTATAACTAATGCCTTCATTTTGAGTAAAGTCTTTTGCCACAAGACTATCCTTATATCTTTCCACATTACCCTTCGAATTCTTTTTAGTTTTAAATATCATTTTGAAACCAATGAGTTTTACAACTGAAGGTAATGGGACAAGATCCCAAACTTGATTGTCTTGTATCGACTTATACTTTTGATTTTCTTGAAGAAATCATATTCGTCCGAAATGTCATTTCTTCAACCTCAAAATGGATCTCCTTAATGGCATAAATTATTGAGATTGTTGAGTTTGTTTATCTGGAATAACCTAACCAGTTTGAGTTGGAAGATTTCCAACGCTATCCTTTTGAGGTGTTAAATCTACTTCTTGACTAATTACAGGAATATAGACCAGTACATTGTCAGAAGCAGTAGTAGAAACCAAAAAATGATTCCTCCTCAAAGGTAATGTTCCTAACCTTATATTTATCCCCCCCAAACGCAACATCCTCAATAATATTACATTTCTCGTCTCAAATATAGATCTTTAGCAGGATATAGAAAAACTTAAAACTCCTAAGTTTAGTGTTGGCATTGACAGAGATAAAAATACCAGATGTTATAACATAACAGAGAATAATAATAATAATAATAATAATAATAATAATAATAATAATAATAATAATAATAATAATAATAATAATAATAATAATAATAATAATAATAAAAATAATAATAATATAATCAACATGCTCACATCAATCATACAAATTTAAATAAATTTAGTTACATCTCAAGGGACCTAGCACAACATCAATATTAAGTCTTTGGACAGTAATATTAATTTGTAAGTGGTGGCCTTTGTGTAGTAATCAAATATTGACAAAACTCATGTCAAACAATAGTCTTTATTTTGAAAAACATATTATTCACATGGATATAACTATATATTGTCATATATTCACCACTTCATGTAGTTATATATTTCTGCCAAATGTTAATCTTCCTTTGGGCCGATGAAACAATCGCATGAAAATATACAAATACAAAGATCTAAAATTCTCGACAAATAAATCTACACAAGAGAGGTTACTTTTGCAACTTCTTGTTTCAATAAACTCATCTTGAATATTAGACAAATTACACATAGGAACATGAGATGTACCAAAACAAATTTAAAAGAAATGATTGAAATATTGATTTATATACGTGCAATCACTAAATTAAATTACCATATTTGCACAACCAATAAATAAATAATTAACCTAATTCAAAAAATTAGAGAATTAATCTCATTTGAGTTTTAACCATAGTAAATCCTTAATACTAAATTTGATAATATAATCCATTATCAAACATCATATAAATAGATAGAACTTGTAACCATAACAGATGAAAAGCGAATTAGCAAAATGGCTGCTAGATTGCTGTGAATCGGCACTTTGGCCACCACATGAACTCATGCATTGACCCACAGGCCACGTAACAGATGGCATATGTTATTTGCATCCATGTCTATTTTCTGAGTAAAACTTGGAATTAATTTACTGAATCCAAATTATGTAGAATTTGCCCAACAAATTAAATAATAAACTAAATCCTTGAATCAAAATCTCAAATCAATTACCATTTGAATCCAAGAACAAGTATATGCATGACCAAACCATTATTTGAATTATGGTCACAACTATGTAATAATTGAGTGTAAATTGTATCAATTATTCATACATTACAATTGAGAGTGCAGCTGTACATGTGAATTATTGTATCAATAATTCATATCTTATAATTGAAAGTGGAGCTGTACATGTGTATGCATCATCTGGAGGTATCAACATTTTCCAATCTATTCCTATAAATAGATGGTCTAACACAGGAGGAAAGAACACAGAAAAAATAGAAAAGAAAGTGGGAGAAGAAGACGACAGGAAAAAAAAATAAAAAACGATTCTGCCGAAAGAAAGAGGAAGGAAGAGAAAAGAAAAAGGAATATTTTTCATTTATTTTATTATATTTCTTTTATTTAAAGTGCTCAATTCTCGATTCCGTTCCCGTTTGCCAGAGCTCGTAAATCTGGTGTGCCACAGATTTAGAGACGTTTGCCGTTGTATCTTTGGGGAAGTTACGCCTGAACCGTTAGCCGACACACGGGGCGTATTCTTCTTGCAAAAAGAGTTTTTACTCGCCTCGGCTAAAATCTTCCCGCAGTTGTATTTTATTTTTCAGTTCAATTGTAATTTTTCATTTTTAGATTATTTGTGAGAACTGAAAATACATATCAGTTCGTAGGATTCTCGTGTAATTTTACACTAAATATCCAACAATCGCAAGAAGAATATTAGTCATCCTACTGAACTGATGGCATCCACCGGAGCAGGTTCCAGCTCTCAGCACCCGATCAATCATGTACCTGCTGTCCATGTTCCTACAGCTGAAAAGCCCGAAAAATTCAACGGGCTTGATTTTAAGAGATGTCAACAGAAGATGCATTTTTACCAGACCACTTCGAGTTTGGTGAAATACTTGAAGGACAACCCCCCTGTCATTTCGGAGAATGAGACAAATGCAGAACTACGCGCTGCGTACGATGCTTGGGGGCAAGGTGACTACCTTTGCCGCAACTATGTCCTGAACGGGTTTATCAACGAGTTGTACAATGTGTACAGCTCTGTTGGTTCTGCCAAGGAACTTTGGGCTGCCTTGGAGAAGAAGTACAAGACGGAGGACGCGGGGCGAAGAAATTCGTCGTCGGTAAATTTCTTTACTCCAAGATGGTTGACACGAAGATTGTCGTGTCACAAGTACAAGAGTTCCAGCTGATCTTTCACGATATCCATGCTGAAGGGATGACTTTGAGCGAGTCATTCCAAGTAGCGGATGTGATCGAGAAGCTGCCGCCAGGCTGGAAGGACTTCAAGAATTATCTCAAACACAAGAGAAAGGAGATGAGTCTTGAAGATCTGATAGTTCGTCTTCGTATTAAGGAAGACAACTAGAAGTCATCAGGAAAAGTCCCGATGATGGAAGCTCGTGCCAATTTGCTGGAACAAGGCAACTCGAGCAAGAGAAAGACCCAGAACAACGGAAAGCAGCCAACCAAGGTTTGGAAGTTTACCGGAACTTGTTACAATTGTGGAAAATCAAACCATATGACTAAAGACTGCAAGAGGCCAAAGAAGTCTGGGCCAAAGAAAGGGCAAACGAGTGCCTTTGTTGTTGAACACGACCCTGTGTCGGGTGAATTGATCGACTTTGATATGTCGGCTGTGGTGTTTGAAGCCAATTTGGTGGATAACCCAAGGGAGTGGTACATTGATACTGGTGCCACTCGTCATGTGTGTTCCGACATGGGTGTTCTCTGAATACACTCCTGTTGCGGGTCAGAAACTTCACATGGGAAACTCGTCCACGTCTGATGTGGCTGGAGTGGGCACGACGGTGCTGAAGCTCACTTATGGAAGGGAGTTGAAGCTGAAGGATGTTCTGCATGTCCCAGACTGTTGGGTTCTGTTAGGAACGTCAAACAACATGCACGGCATTGAACTTTATC